TTCTCGCGTACAGGGCATCCATTTGGGGGCCCCGCCGTCGGCTGTCATGATCAATATGCCTTTGCTCACGATCTCCAACTCTCCCTGGGCACGCAGCTGCTCTGTCAGCTTCCTTCCAATCAGCACGCTTTGTGCCCCCGTATCCACCACTGCGTTTTCCACCAGTATTCCCCGTACTGCTACTGCTTTGGGTTCCACTACTAAGGCTGTAGGCTGGCAAGCGAGCCGTTCTTCAGGGTGACGACGCGCCGTCCTTGGGCTTCCACTCCCTTCCGGCTGCCTGCTAATTCTCTTCTCCCGTTGTTTCTGCTCTGCCCTACCGTCCACTCCTTTACTGCGCAGCCCCAGATCCCCTCTTTCCCTCGGTGGTATAGCCATCGTCCCATACTCAGGCTCTCCCTCATCAGACTCCTCCCCTTCATCATCCTCCCAAGCCAGCAGCGCCTTCTCCGGATCCTCGCTGATCTCTGCCTTCTCCATTTGAGCTTTCAGTTTAGCCAGCTCCCGTTCCAGCTGTAACTCCCTTGCTGATTTCCCTTTCGTCCGCTCTCCCTTACTGTAACATCTGGCTTCCGTATGTCCCCTTTTCCCGCAGCCAGTACATATTGGCGCCTTGGGGCAATCCCGTCTAAAGTGCCCCTTTGCTCCGCAGGTATCGCATGTTATCCCCACCGCACAATCCCTACGCAGATGCCCCTGCTCCCCACATTTATGACAGCGCCTTGTATCTTCTGGAGGCCTGTCTCTTCGCTCCTCCTCTCCCCTTCTGCCCTCCACTGCTGCCCAAGCTGGCCTTCTCCGCTCGGTCGGCCGACTGGAACTCGACCCCTGCATGCCATCATAAAACTGCTTCCCTTCTTCCACTTCTTTCGCCACCTGGTATACCTGCCGCAGCGTGGCTCGTACTCCCAGGGAGAATAGCCGGCTCCTCATGTCACTTATCAAGTCTTTATCCAGCCCGTTGACAAATTTAGTCACCAAGATACGTTCTTCCATGCAGCCCATGTCCTCTGCCAGCTCCAGCAGCCTGTTGTAATAGGCCAGCAGCGACTCTGGAGTGGCTCGAATGAAGTTCTGAAATTCTGCCATCTTGTCTGCCGAATGCCCCGGGAATTGTTCTTGCAGGCTTTCCAAAAATCGGTCCGTGATCATCGCAGCTGGGAGGTCTCCTCTCTTATTCTGCATCAGCAGCCCCTGCCTTTCCACACGGTAATGCGTCAGCGCTTCTCCCTTAAGAGTCCTCCCCAAACCTCTGAAAAATTCGATGGGATCCAGCCCTTCCCTATCCCAGCAGTAGCGGATGTCTTCTATCATCATGAGGTAGTTCTTTAGCGTGGGCTCTTCTCCTGGCGTCCCCGAGAAGCGATCTGGCACCTCGATTTTCGGTGGTGCAGCGTTCATCGATCTGCCAGTCCCCCAGCTCGTCGTCCCTCTTTCTCCACTCCCAGCAGGCCGACCTCCTCTTCCGGCCTCCATGGCTTCGTACGCACCCGCTGAGAATCCATGATAGTGTTCTCCTCCTCTCTGACTTCGCCGCTCTTCTTGCTGGTCGTCTCCTTCTCTCAGGCTTCGTCGTTCTTCATGGTGATCGTCTCCTCCTTTCTGACTTCGCCTTTCTTCGTAATTATCTTCCCCTCCCAAATCAGGAGGTCCTCGTCGAGGTCCAGTCCCCACAGGGCGAATTCCGCTTCCGCCTGCCGGTGAATCACAAGCTGAGCTGAGCGGTTGTTCTCTCAGTCCGCTCCCTTCCTTCTCCCGATCCGATCCTTGATGGCCTCGTACGTTGTTATCTCCCTCTCCCGCGCGAAATCCAGGCATCCTAATCGGCGGATCACGTCCCTCCATCATCCTCGCAGGGAATCGGTGACCCGAGCGCAGTTGATGAGTATGAAGCTCCTGATCAAATTCACTCATGCCTCATGGCGCATCACCGTGCTCTACTCCAGGCGGTCAAGCCTGTCCCCTGTACTCTAGACAGTCGTAAGCCTTTTTGCTTGTATGCAACAAGTCTAAACTCCCTCGCAAGGGCTCAGTCAGATTGCTGTTAGCTTCTCCTACTGCTAGTTCCCTTCGGATTAGGAAAGCAAATTGCAGTAAACGAGAAACATACAAGCAAAAAGCAAGAAGCCCGAGTGCTACTCCTGCCTACATCTATTCCCACCCCGTGCCTAGGTTGCTTCCTCCACAAGCAAGCTCCTGTGCACCAAGCGAGTCAGCCGGGCTGCTCGCAAGGTCTCCAAGGTGCTAGCTGTGTCCCCACTGGGCCCACTAGGCATGCACCGCCTTCCAGCCTGGTGACTTCGAAATTGAATTCACAGGCTGGAATTGAATTCGCCTCCACCAACCTCCTTGAATTCGCCTCCCACTAACCACCTCAAATTCCCCAGCTACTCGGCTCTGCAGTACAGTACAATACATTCCAAGCACACAAATGAAATTAGAGTACAAAACGGTAAACTATAGTACACCCTCACCTTGGCTGCTGTGGTATTCACACTTAGTTGCCAGCTAAGTGTTAATAACGCGACAAGGGGAGGTGGGTGGCGCAAGCTGGTGACCGAAGGGGAGGGGTGTGGAGACTGGTTTGGCTTGTGCCATCTCGAACTTCTCCAGGCGATAAGTTTCGGGGTGTAGGTGGCCATGTCGGCTTGGTATTTGGCGACGACGGCGAGGTGAGCGTTGCGGCCGGTAACTGCCTGGTCATAGGCTTCGACTGCTGCATCGTACTCTGCTTTCTTGATAAGGTACGCACGGCGGCGTAGGATGAAGTCTGCATCGGCCGTGGCTTGGTCGGCGGTGAGTTGGAGGTCAGGTTCAAGAGGAGGATCGCCGGGAGAGGGAGGGAGAGGGGGAGTCTCGCCCGGGTGGTCAGGTTCGGTGGGGGGGAGTGCATGGGGACGGCGGAGGAGGACATCAAGGACACGGTAGGGGGGAACCCATGCGTCGGAGAGAACTCGTCGGATGCTGCCGACGAAGGAGTGCCAATTAATGGCGGATTTGTCTGCGGCGAGCTGCAGCTTATCGATGGAGGAGGTGTCAATAGGTGGAGGGAGGGGGGGCGGGGGAGGGTGTGGCGGTAGCCATGGAGGACGGCTGCGGGTGGGCCCGCAGTGGTCACGGGGGAGGTGAGGCGGCGATGAGGCCGCGGCGCAGGCAGCGGCGGCTGGCGAGGCCGCGGCGGCGCTGGCGCGAAGGCGGCGACGAGGCCGCGGGAGGGAGCGGCGCGGACGGCAGCGGCTGGCGAGGCCGCGGCGGAGTCGGCGCGGAGGCGGCGACGAGGCCGCGGGAGGGAGCGGCGCGGACGGCAGCGGCTGGCGAGCTCCGCGCCGACGCCGCGGAAGGGAGCGGCGCGGACGGCAGCGGCTGGCGAGGCCGCGGCGGAGTCGGCGCGGAGGCGGCGACGAGGCCGCGGGAGGGAGCGGCGCGGACGGCAGCGGCTGGCGAGGCCGCGGCGGAGTCGGCGCGGAGGCGGCGACGAGGCCGCGGGAGGGAGCGGCGCGGACGGCAGCGGCTGGCGAGGCCGCGGCGGAGTCGGCGCGGAGGCGGCGACGAGGCCGCGGGAGGGAGCGGCGCGGACGGCAGCGGCTGGCGAGGCCGCGGCGGAGTCGGCGCGGAGGCGGCGACGAGGCCGCGGGAGGGAGCGGCGCGGACGGCGGCGGCTGGTGGAGCCACGGCGGCGTTTGCGCGGAGGCGGCGTCGAGGCCGCGGAGAGGCGCGAGTGGCGGCGGCCGGAGAGGCCGTGGAGGCGCCGGCGCGGAAGCGGTGGCGAGGCTGCGGAATGGCGCGGGCGGCAGCGGTCGGCGGGACCGCGACGAGGCGAGCGCGGAAGCGGCGATGGGGCCGCGGAAAGGGGGGGAGGGGGTGGGGGGGTGGTGCGGGCCTTGGCGGCGTGGGAGGCCGCGGGGCTGCGAGGAAGGGAGCGCTTGAGGAGAGGGGAAGGGCGGCAAGATGGCCGCGAAAAAAAAATGAGGAAGGAGGCCGGGGTTGTAGTGGCCTTTGAAAAGTTAATAGAGTAGGCCTAGGAATTAAGAGCTCTATACCATGTGAGAACAATAGTTTGAAGAGAAGTTGATGATTGAATTGAGGAGATTGGGGGTTTACATAGGGAGTGGGTTGGATCCTAGCCTAGGTGAGCATTATTGGACCCCAACCAAGAAGTTGGGTTGGGGGATTATTGGTGGGGTCCAATAATGTTGGCCAAGTTGGAGTTGGGCCAACATTATTGGAGTGAACCAATAATTCTACCCAACCCAACCTTTGGGGTCCAATAATTGGACCAAGGTTGGGTTTCCAACCTACAAACTGGGTGACCCCTGTTTGTACACCCAAACTGAGTTTGGGTGCTTAACTCTAGCCTAACCTATAACATCTATGCAGGTTACACAAGAAGATAGATTCTAACAGAGAGAGCAGCGAAGGAGGAGCTCTTTGAGACGATCCTGGCTGTGGTTCGCCTGCTGCCGGCGTTCTCGAAAGAGTGTCAGGATAGCCTGGAGAGGCTGTGTGACGTCGGGGGGGAGGTGTGCGAAAGGGCGGACGTGGATTTGTACTGGGTGGAGCGAGTGGTGGCTTACAACCCCCCTGAGGTGCTCACGATGATGCTCACGGAGAAAGGCATCAAGCAGCTGGTGAGTGCCTGATGATGCGTACTGCGTGAGGGAGTGGGCGGAGCTGTACTGGGTGAGGGATTGGCGACACAGGAGGTGGCGATTCTAGAAAAGAAGGTGAGAGCGCGAGTGAGGATTAGAATTGACCAGTGAGTGCTCTCACCTCTCCCCCCTTTCTCTCCCTATTACATACAGGAGGAGGTGATGCTAACGAGGAAGGTGCAGGCGAGTGAGGTGGTGGTGGCGGAGATGGTGAGAAGCTCATCAGCGCTGTCAAGGGAGGACGGCGTTGAATTACAAAGCTTCGTGATCAGCCTCACGTGCCCTATCTCCCTCAAACGCATCAAGGTCAGATTCATTATGAAACACATCAAGTGTGGATGGCATTGAGACTCAGGCCTCAAGTGGCCTCTCTCTCGCCGCATCAAGGTCGGATCCATTGCCCTGCCCTCCTATTAGCCCCTCCTCTTCAACTTTCGTCTCGTAACTGTCGTCGTCTCCTCCTCCTCCTCCTCCTCCTCCTCCTCCTCCTCCTCCTCCTCCTCCTCCTCCTCCTCCTCCTCCTCCTCCTCCTCCTCCTCCTCCTCCCCCCCCTCCTCCTCTCCCCCCTCCTCTCCCTCCACTCCCTCCACTCCACTCCCTCCTCCTCCTCCTCCTCCCTCCTCCTCTCACTCCTCTCCCTCCTCTCCCTCCTCCTCCCCTCCCTCCTCCCCGCCCTCCCCCCTCCTCCTCCTCCTCCTCCTCCTCCTCCTCCTCCTCCTCCTCCTCCTCCTCCTCCTCCTCCTCCTCCTCCTCCTCTCCCTCCTCCTTCTCCTCCTCCTCCCCCCCCCCTCCTCCTCTCCCTCCTCTCCCTCCACTCCCTCCACTCCCTCCTCCTCCTCCTCCCTTCCCTCCTCCTCTCACTTCTCTCCTCCTCTCCCTCCTCCTCCCCTCCCTCCTCCCCGCCCTCCCCCCCCCTCCCCCCTCCTCCTCCTCCTCCTCCTCCTCCTCCTCCTCCTCCTCCTCCCCCCCCTCCTCCTCCTCGCCCTCCACTCCCTCCACTCCCTCCTCCTCCTCCTCCCCCCCTCCTCCTCTCACTTCTCTCCTCCTCTCCCTCCTCCTCCCCTCCCTCCTCCCCCCCCTCCTCCTCCTCCTCCTCCTCCTCCTCCTCCTCCTCCTCCTCTTCCTCCTCCTCCGCCTCCTCCCCCCCCCTCCTCCGCTTCAAGATGCCTCTTTTGATTCATCCATCCCACATTCTCTTTTCTCCCATTGCAGGTGCCAGTGCGCGGCAACAAGTGCTCTCATGATAGCACGTTTGATCTCGCGCCTTACCTCCGCTTGAACCAAGGCTTGGCCAAGAACGACAAGATGGCGTGGCACTGCCCTATTTGCTACCAGCCGCTGCTGTGGTCCGATTTGTTTTTGGATGGATTCAGTGAGTAGACATATGAGAGCACACTGTATCACTCTGCAACCCATTACAACCAATCGCTTCTCACTGCGCTCCATAGCACCACACTCCCCATCCTCCACCCCACTAGTGCAAAAGATGCTATAAAAGCAACAAGTGAGAAGTATGGCGAGTGGGAGGTGTTTCCAGATGGCGGGTAGAGGCGGGTGGTGAGGTGAGCAGCAGGTGTGCCGATTCTGATGACACTCAACAATTGCTCCACTCCCTTGCTCTCCCAAAACTGTGTTTCTTTTTTTTTATTTCCTTAAAGACATGAGAGGATGAAGTGTAGTAGGTGTTCTCAGATGGCAGGTGGAGAAGGGTGGAAAGTGGTAATGTGGCTGCTGAGACTCACTAATTTTCTGTGTTTCTCCAATTTCCTCATCTGCCTCTATTCCCCTCTTCCTTCATATCCTTCCCCACTTTCCCCACGTTCCCCCCTTCCTTTCCAACAGTGCAAAAGATTCCGGAAGGAACAAAGGAGAGGACGGCAAGGTGGAGCAGTTCTTTTGTGGCAGGGCAGGTATAGGGGGGTGGTGAGCGGCAGTGGGTTTGATGATGGCTCATCCTTTTTTTTCTTCCGCCCTCTCCTCTTCCCCACCCCTTCACCGCACTACACTGCACCCGACCGCTCTCCCAACAGTGCAAAAGATTCTTGAAGAAACGAGGAAGGCGGACAGCGAGGTGGAAGTGTTTCCTGACGGCAGGTGGAGAAGGGTGGAGAGCGGTGATTGGGAGGACGGTAACTGCTCCGAGTCAGACGAGGAGGGCGGTGAGTCAAACGAGGAGGGCGAGTCAAACGAGGAGGGCGAGTCAAACGAGGAGGGCGAGTCAAACGAGGAGGGGGGCGAGTCAAACGAGGAGGAGGGCGAGTCAAACGAGGAGGGCGAGTCAGGCGAGGAGGAGGGCGAGTCAAACGAGGAGGGCGAGTCAAACGAGGAGGGGGAGTCAAACGAGGAGGGGGAGTCAAACGAGGAGGGCGAGTCAAACGAGGAGGGCGATTCAAATGAGGAGGGCGAGTCAAACGAGGAGGGCGAGTCAAACGAGGAGGGCGAGTCAGACGAGGAGGGCGAGTCAAACGAGGAGGGCGAGTCAGACGAGTCAGACGAGGATGGCGAGTCAGACGAGGAGGGCGAGTCAGACGAGGAGGGCGAGTCAGACGAGGAGATGATGCAGCTGATTTTGTTGCAGAGGTTAAAGGACGAGAAGCGGAAACTTGAGAAGGGGAGAGAGGAGGAGAAGAGGAGAGAGGAGTGGAAGCAACAGAGGAGAGAGGAGGAAGAGAGGAAGGATGAGGAGGAGAGGAGAGAGGAGGAGAGGAGAGAGGACGAGGAGAGGAGAGAGGAGGAGGAGAGGGGAGAGAAGGAGAAGAGGAGGAGGACGAGGAGACGAGGGGGTTGGAGCGAAGGGCCGAGGGAGATAGAGTGGGATTGAGTGCGGTTGGGGGTGAGGAGGAGGGAGCAATGGGGGGTGGGCCAGGCGATGAGAGAGGGAGTGAAGAGGATGAAGGGGTGGACAGGAGGGAGACTGCTGGGAAAGAGGAGAGGGAGGGAGTGAGAGAGGGAGAGTTGAGAGGGGAGGGAGTGACAGAGGGGGAATGGAGGAGAGAGGGATGTGAGGAGAGCAACCAGGGGTGAGAGTTACTGGTAGTAACCAGCACGTGAATGGCGGTAACCAGGAGCAGGATTCCTTGCTCAAGTTGAGGGCGGAGAACGAGGCATTGCTGAAGCAATTGCATACAACGCGCCAGCGTCTGGCCGAGGTGGAGAGGCAACAGGCGGAGACAAGGAGGAGGAAGGCTGGCACGCAGAGGGACTGTGTTGCTGCCTCTCCACCTGCTGCTGCTGCTGCTGCTGCTGCTGCTGCTGCTGCCCCAACTGCTGCTGTTGCTGCTGCCCCAACACTAGCAGCAGCAGCAGAAGCAGCTCAGCAGGACGAGGACGCATGCTGGTCAGATGGCACGTTGCAGCAGGAGGAGGTGGCAGGCCAACAGAAGGAGGAGCACCGTGGGGTGCAGGAGTGTGACAGCAGCACGGCTTTAGGGTTGAGTGCTTGGGCTGCTGCTGAGCCTCCTATGCTCTCTGCCAGCCCTCTGAACCCTCGTGCTGCTGCTATGACAAAAGGAGGTGGTGCTGCTATGACAGAAGGAGGTGCTGCTGCTATGACAGAAGGAGGTGCTGCTGCTATGACAGAAGGAGGTGCTGCTGCTATGACAGAAGGAGGTGCTGCTGCTATGACAGAAGGAGGTGCTGCTGCTATGACAGAAGGAGGTGCTGCTGCTATGACAGAAGGAGGTGCTGCTGCTGTGACAGGAGGTGCTGCTGCTGTGACAGGAGGAGGTGCTGCTGCTGTGGCAGAAGGAGGTGCTGCTGCTGTGGCAGAAGGAGGTGCTGCTGCTGTGGCAGAAGGAGGTGCTGCTGCTGTGGCAGAAGGAGGTGCTGCTGCTGTGGCAGAAGGAGGTGCTGCTGCTGTGGCAGAAGGAGGTGCTGCTGCTGTGGCAGAAGGACGTCTTGCAGAAGGACGTCTTGCAAGAGCAGCTGCAGCAGCAGTAGCAGACGCAGCAGCTCCGCCCACTTGCCCAGCAGCAGTATCAGCGCCCCTACCATTGGTGGATGTCTATGGGGCAACGACTCAAGGCAGCAGCAAGCAGGATCAGCTGTGGCAGGGGAAACTGCCGCAGAGGCACAGAGCGGATGAGAGTGGCCCAATCAGGGTGGAAGAAGAGTTGGTTGGCAGCGGCGGCAGCAGCCCTGGGGCGAGTGGGGCTCCCCCCACTGCGCCCTGTACTGCTTCTGCTGTCGCTCGCCATACTGCTCCTTCAACTGCTCTTGTTGCCACTACTGCTGCTGCCCCCCCCTACTGCTCGTGCTGCTGCCCCTGCTGCTGCTGCTGCCCCTGCTGCTGCTGCTGCCCCTGCTGCTGCTGTGAGAGATCCATCAGTGCCTTGCTGAAGCAGTTTCACCGTCAACTGTTGTTCCCCACTCGTCTTCAGATGAGGTGTTGGGCAGGAGGGTGTTGGAGGCAAGGGATCAGACACTGAAGGCGCTGCAGGAGCCGGGGGTAGCGGTAGCGGTCCAGCAGCGTATTGCTGATGTTGCTGTGGCTGCTACTACTGCTGCTGCCGACCCTTCTGCGGCTACTACTGCTGCTACCGCCCCTTCTGCTGCTACTACTGCTGCTACCGCCCCTCTGCTGCTACTACTGCTGCTACCGCCCCTTCTGCTGCTATTACTGCTGCTGCTACCGCCCCTTCTGCTGCTACTACTACTGCTGCTACCGCCCCTTCTGCTGCTGCTGATGCTGCTGCTTCTCCTTCTGCTGCTGCTGCTGTGCTGCTGCCTCCCCTTCTGCTGATGCTGCTGCTGTTGCTGCAGCCCCTTCTGTTGCTGCCGGCCCCACTGGTGTTGCCACCGGTCTCACTGCTGTTACCGCCCCTTCTGCTGCTGTTGCTGCTGCTGCTGCCGCCCCGTCTGCTGCTGCTGCTGCTGCTGCTGCTGCTGCTGCTGCTGCTGCTGCTGCTGCTGCTGCTGCTGCTGCTGCTGCTGCTGCTGCTGCTGCTGCTGCTGCTGCTGCTGCTGCGCTGCTGCTGCTGCTGCTGCTGCTGCTGCTGCTGCCTCCCCTTCTGCTGCTGCTGCCACCCCTGCTGCTGCTGCCGGCCCCACTGGTGTTGCCACCGGTCTCACTGCTGTTACCGCCCCTCCTGCTGCTGTTGCTGCTGCTGCTGCTGCGCCCCTTCTGCTTCAGTCGGCCCCACTGGTGTTGCTGCCGGTCCCACTGCTGCTGCCGCCCCTTCTGCTTCAGTCGGCCCCACTACTGTTGTTGCCGGTCCCACTGCTGCTGCCACCCCTTCTGCTGCTGCTGCTGCTGCTGCTGCTACCTCCCCTTCTTCTGCTGCTGCTGCTGCCGCCCCTTGCTGCTGCTGCTGCTGCTGCTGCTGCCGGGCCCACTGGTGTTGCTGCCAGTCCCACCGCTGCTGCTGCCCCTACTTCTGCTGCTGCTGCTGCTGCTGCTGCTGCTGCCGCCCCTTCTGCTGCCGGCCGCATTGCTGTTGCTGCCGGTCCCACTGCTGCTGCCGCCACTCCTGCTGCTGCCGCCCCTTCTGCTGCTGCCACCCCTCCTGCTGCTGCCGCCCTCCTGCTGCTGCCACCCCTCCTGCTGCTGCCACCCCTTCTGTTGCAGCTGGTCTCTGCCACCCCTTCTTCTGTTGTTGCTCCTCTTGCTGCTGCTGCAGCTGCTGCTGCTGCTGCTGCTGTCGCCACCCTCTCTGCTTCACGGCAGCACAAGAGGGTGGCCTCTACCCTATATCCCGACACACCGACATCGAACAGCGAGCTGGCTCACGGTTCGAACACGAAACTGGTCTGCAAGAGAGTACGTGTGAGGGGTGAGTTGGCTGCCGCCCCTTCTGCTGCTGCCGGCCCCACTGCTGTTGTTGCCGCCCCATTGGACAGAAGAACAGTACATGCCGCGGGACATGCACACGCACGCATCTCTGGGGCAGCGGATGGTTCTCAGCAAACGCCCACTGTGGAGCGGCCATTAATGGCCATAGAGTCCGCTTCTCTTGGAAGCCCTGAGCCTGAGTAGGCGGATGCGGCAATGAGTGCAGAGCAGGCCGATGCTTCCAAGCAAACGCCCCTTGTGGAGCAGCCGCTAACCCCCCCTGTGGAGCGGCCCTTAGCTCCCCCTGTGGAGCAGCCGTTAACGCCCCCTGAGCAGGCGGATGCAGCGATGAGCGCAGAGCAGGAGGAGGATGCTGCTGCTGCCACCCCTTCTGTTGCTGCCAGTCCCACTGCTACTGCCACCCCTTCTGTTGCTGCCAGTCCCACTGCTACTGCCGCCCCTTCTGTTGCTGCCGGTCCCACTGCTACTGCCACCCCTTCTGTTGCTGCCGGCCCACTGCTACTGCCACCCCTTCTGTTGCTGCCGGTCCCACTGCTACTGCCGCCCCTTTTGTTGCTGCCAGTCCCGCTGCTACTGCCACCCCTTCTGTTGCAGCTGCTTCTGTTACCCCTTCTGCTGCTGCTGTCATCCCTTTTGCTGCTGCTGCTGCTGCTGCTGTCGCCACCCTTTCTGCTTCTCGGCAGCTCAAAAGGGCGGCCTCTACCCTATATCCCGACACACACCGACATCGAACAGCGAGCTGGCTCACAGATTGAACACAAAAGTGGTCCGCAAGAGGCACAGACCATCAAACAGAAGCACAGTACATTCCACGGTACTTGCACACGCACGCATTTCTGGGACAGCGGTCCAGCGGCACATTAATGCTGTTGCTGCGGCGGCTGCTGCTGCTGCCGCTGCTGCTGTTGCTGCTGCTGCTGCTGCTGCCGCCACTGCTGCTGCTGCCGGTCCCACTACTGCTGCTGCCGCCCCTTCTGCTGCTGCTGCCGGCCCCATCGCTGCTGCTGCCGCCCCTTCTACTGCTGCTGTTGCTGCTGCTGCCGCCCCTTCTGCTGCTACTGCTGCTGCTGCTGCTGTTGCCGGCCCCACTTCTGTTGCTGCCGGCCCCACTGCTGCTCCCCCTTCTGCTGCTGCTGCTGCCTGCCCCACCTGCTGCTGCTGTTGCTGCTGCTGTTGCTGCCGCCCCATTGGACAGAAACACAGTACATTCCGTGGTACGTGCACACGCACGCATTTCTGGGGCAGCGGATGCTTCTCAGCAAACGCCCCTCGTGGGGCGGCCATTACTGGCCATAGAGTAGGCCGAGCCATTATTAGTGGCCATCATTAAACGCCGCTTCTCTTGGAAGCCCTGAGCCTGAGCAGGCAGATGCGGCAATGAGTGCAGAGCAGGCCGATGCTTCCAAGCAAACGCCCCTTGTGGAGCAGCCGCTAACCCCCCCTGTGGAGCGGCCCTTAGCTCCCCCTGTGGAGCGGCCGTTAACGCCTTCTGAGCAGGCAGGCGGATGCGGCAAAGATGATCTTCAACCTCACGGTACGGGCTTCGTAGCAATTACAAGAGCCGCATTGCAGAGAGGTAAGTGTAATTATTAAGTAGACCATTGAATCCTTGGACACCGGACGGAGATGGGTCACTGGTTTTACGAACTGCAGCGGGGAAAAGAGCGGATACAGAGGAGCATGGCCGTGAGGAGTGGGGTAGAGTCGGTGGTTCCTGAGGTGGATGGAGGCAAGGAGGAAGGGGGGGTAAGGGGGGGCGTGTGCAAGGGCAAAGGAGTAAATGGCAGGAGCGGGAGGGGGGCACGCGTCTGAGGGAGGGGAGCAAGCGGTTGAGAGAAGAGGCGAGCAAGGGGAGTGGGAGAGGGTTAAGGACGTGGAGAAGGAGAGCTTGTGGGTGCTGGGGAATATGGATGAGAGGTGGAGGGGGACGTGGCAAGCGAAAACGGAGCAACGCCTGTGGTTACTCATGGCTGAATTTAATGTGCTACTCCAATCTGATTTTCTTCAATAGAAAGGTTGGTGATGACTAACTCGCAGGTTTGAGATTGATTTTGCTGCGGCGGGAGGATGCGGCGGGAGGAGGGGAGGCAGAGGAGGCTGCGGGAGGAAGGGGAAGGTGGGGGGGGAGGAAGGGGACGTTGGGAGGGCAGGGTAGGCATGGAGAACGGGGGTGGAGAAGGTGAGAGGAGAGGCAGGGCGAGCGGGAGGGCCATGTGACGTAGAGAAGGTGATGCATTGGGTGCAGTGGGAAGTGGGGTGAAGGCGGAGGACAAGGAGGAGGGGGCGGAAGCAGGGGGGAGATGGGGAGGGGAGGCCAGGGGGGTGTGGGACCGCTGCTGTAGCAACTCCTGCTGCTCCTGCTGTTGCTGCGGTTGCAGCTACCCTTCTGCTGCTGGTGCCACCACTTCTGCTGCTGCTGCTGCTGCTGCGGTTGCTGCACCTCTTCTGCTGCAGCAGCTGCTGCCACCCCTTCTGCTGCTGCCACCCACTATCTCCAGACGATGCCTTGGCAACATATAGGGGGGCCTTGGCAGCAGAGGGGCCTTGGCAGCAGCAGCAGAGTGTAAAGGGGAAGGAGGTGCTGGCACTGGCGTTATGGAGATGGAGCAACTGATTAGGGGCCTTCAGGAAGGGCAGCAGGTAGCCTCCAACATCTGGCACAAACTGCGTGAAGGCAAGATTCTGTTGGGTGAGTGGCAGTTCCTTGGTTTCTGCTGCATCATGGATGGGAGGACCCAAGCGCATTCACTCTCTGGTGACAGTAAACGCTCACGCGGAACATGGAATGATCACTCGGAGCAATCGTTTGCTGCGGTCAAGAAGGCAGTACTCTGCACTGAGATTTATTTTGAGTGGAAGAATCAGATAGCGGAGGCTGGGGGGACGGAACTGGAGAGTGGGTGGAGGAAGCTGTAAGAAGAGTTTCTTGGGAGGGCTCTGTTGGGCAAGCTGCAGGAGGTCATGGAAGGGCTGGCAGGCTGTGAGATACTCCCTATAGAGTACAACACATTTAGGGTTCGTATTTGTACGGTATCCCCTTCGTTAATCAGGTTCGTTAATCTAACCATTTAACTGTTCATTTCTTGGGAGTAAACCGAAACGCGTCGAATCCCGAGTCTGATAAGAGGTTCGTGTAGGAACACGCCCTTCAACCTGATAATAACGGGATTTGCAAATTAAGATCTGCCAAACCCAAGTGGAGATCACAAATCATAACTACGGCACAAGCAGTCAGGGAATAAGCAGTACAGTATTGATTGCGTACAATATTGTAATATTCCATAATGTAGCGTGTATGCGTCACACCACATACGACCACTGCTGTTGCTGGTGACACTGCGTCCTCCCTGCAAGCATCCCCGCTGCAACCACCGCAGCCAGTTGCTGCTGTTGTTGCCTCTGCTTTCCCACCATCCTTTGCCTCCGCCGCAACAACCCGTTTACTGCTGTTGTTGCTGCTGCTGCTGCTGCTGCTGCTGTTGTTGTTGTTGCTGCTGTTGCTGCTGCTGCTGCTGCTGCTGCTGGTGATACTGCGTCCTCCCTGCAAGCATCCCCGCTGCAACCACCGCAGCCAGCTGCTGCTGTTGATGCCTCTGCTGCCGCACCTTCTTCTGCTTCCGCTGCTGCGACCCTCCCCCTCCGCCTCCCCCCCCCTCCCCCTCCCCCCCCCCTCCCCCTCCCCCTCCCCCGGCCCCCCCAACTGCACCTCCACCGGCTGACTCTTGTTGTGCCACAACAGCAGCAGCAGCAGCAGCAGTCCCTAGGGGAGAGCAGGACCAAGGTGCTGCCGACAGCACGAGGGTTGGAGGCTTGTATGCCAGGTTGGGCCCAAGTAAGCGGCTGCATGGGTGCATTGGACACACCACCTTGGCTGAAACCACCCCCCCCCTGCTGCTGCTGCTGCTGCTGCTGCTGCTGCTGCCCCTGCTGCTGATGCTGATCACACTCCTGCTGCTGCTGCTGCGGCTGCATGACAGTAAGAGGGCTGAAAGCCAAGGGGTAAGGGTGGCCTGACGGCGCGGATGACACAGCAGTGCCAGTGGTGGCAGGGTGCATTCCCGCATACAGGTACGGAGAGCCATGCCCATTCTGACCACCCGTGTGACCTGAGTGCTGCTGGTTTGGATGGCTCGGATGGCCCGGATGGTTTGGATGGCTGGGATGCATGCTTGGGTGAACGTTCAAATACATGCTGGCCTGTTGCGGCATGCTGGCATGTTGCGGCGTGTTAGGATGTTGGGGCATGCTGGCATGCTGCTGCGGCATGTGATGCCCCATCGCGCCAGGCATGGCATAGTGTGCTGCCATGCCGGGCGGCATGGGCGGTGGCGGATACCCATGCATGCCCGCTGACATGGAATACATGAAGTGAGGGGGGGGTGGCATGGCATGGTGCTGGGGGTGGGAGGAGGAGGGGTGTGGAATGGTATGGTAGTGGGTATGGTTGGGTGGGGGATGATGGGCCAGATGGGAAGGGGGAGGCGGGACTGAATGAGTGCCTGTATGCGGGTGTGACTGTAATGGGACGCTAGCATGACCTGCCACAGGTGCAACTGCAGAAGTAGCAGGAGGTGGCACAGGGGAATGGGCTGGGGTGTATGGAAGGCTGTGGGACGCGCTTGGTATGGCACCCACACCCATGCTAGTCTGCACTTTACTCCGTCCCTGCTGCCTCTGCCTCTGCTGCTGTAGAGACACATAGCTGGAGCTGCGAGAGATGGGCGCAGGGGTTGACACACAACCAGCACCAGCAGCATCACCAGCAGCAGCAGCAGCAGCAGCAGCAGCACCACCACCACCACCACCACCACCACCACACCACCACCACCACCACTATCACCATCACTATCACACCATCACCACCACCACCACCACCACCACCACCACACCACCACCACCACCACCACCACCAACACCACCACCACCACCACCACCACCAACCACCACCATCACCATCACCATCACCACCATCACCTCCCCTCTCATCCACCTCCTCTGTCTCCCCACACTCCTCTTCCTCCACCTCCCCATACACATCCTCCAAGTCTCCACACACGTCTACAATCAGCTCCCTCGTCCTCTGCCTCTTCCTCCTCCCCCTCTCCTGCACCGACGACCCACACGGCCCACCTAAAGCAGGTGTTTTCCCAGGTGGATTCTCAGGTGCCGGTGCAGTCCCAGGTGCAGCTGCCCCAGACATACTCTGGGAGGCGAACTGGCCGGCAGAAACATCAGGTGCAACAGAAGAGGGATCAGTTACACCAGCAGCAGCAGGAGAAATCTCAGGTGCAGCTCCAGGCGGGTCCATCGCGATTGCGGGGGATGGTGGTGCGGAGAGGGCAGGAGAAGCGGATGGGGATGGTAGGGGCGGAGGAGGCGGGTGGAGGAGAGAGGGGAGCAGCACAGGCGCGTAGCGGCCTTGGGCTGCTTAGCTGACACCACTAACAGGGGCTGATTGGGTGCAGCTGGGGTGGGTGCAGCTGTGGTGGTAGTGAGTTGGGGTTGGGGGGGTTGGGGGGAGCTGGACATGCGGGAGGAAGAATTCTTCGGTGCAATCTCCCCCGGGACACCAGCAGCAGCAGCGGCAGCAGCAACAACCGCTTGCAGCAGAGGGGGCAGCAGTTGCAGCTGCAGTGGCAGCAGCATCAGGAGCTTCGGCAGCAGCGGCGGCAGAAGCATGAGCATGAAGGGGAGTTGGTGGGAAGTAGTGAGGAGGGGGATGAGAAACGTAGCCACCATATACAGCAGCAGCAGCGGCATCGTCAGCAGCAGCAGCAGCCGTTGATGCAGCACCATAGCGGGCATCCAACGGCTTCTCCATACTCGAGCTCACCCCCAAGGAGATCTCCCCACTGTGCCCTGCCAACCCACCAACATGGCCAGCAGCAGCAGCACCGACAGCAGAAGCACCACCAGCACCAGCAGCAGCAGCAGCAGCGGCGGATAGACCCGCATCAGTTTCCCGGCCTGTCACCATTCCTTCCCCACCCTCCCCCCCTTGCCCCGCTCCTTCCCCCGCTCCCGCGTTCAGAGCCCCAGCGGGGTCAGCAGACGTGACAGCCCCACCGGCTGTGGAGGATCTACTAGCACCACCATGCCACTCGCCTTGGCCTGCTCCTCGATGATTTTCTGGAGGTATTTACCCTGCGCCTCAATCCTGAGCTGCAGCTGCCGCTGCCCTCCAGCTGCTCGTGCAACCGCCTCTGCACCTCCATCTGCATCCTGAGCGCCTCTGTGATCGGAATGTTGCGAATGCTGCAAGCAGGGAGTGAGGGAGGGAGAGAAAGCGAGTAAGCACACAAGGAGTGGATCAGGAATTGCTCCTGCAGCTACAGCTGCGTGGGAAGGCGCTTCTGCATGGGAAGGCGCTTCTGCATGTCCCTCGGCGTTCAGGGTGCTTAGATGATTAAAAGGAGGTAATTTTTGAGTCTATTCAAACGATACGCAGTGCATACTGCAGTCCAAGAAGCAAACAGTGAGAGGGAAGAGGGAGAGGGAGCCAGAACACAGGTATTGAACAAGACATATAGTCAGCAACAAGCGAAGCAATGGTAAAGCAAGGATGAGACATGGTTTCAGATAAAGTGGGGGAGGGGAGGGGAGAGGGTGAAGGGAGGAGAGTGGGGAAGGGATGGGCGGTGGTGTGGGTTAGGGAGTGAAGGGCATACACAGCAGGGTCGAGCAGCGAAGGCTCGCCGTCTGCAGCATCAGGCTGGACGCCCTGAGAGCCAGCAGCCGCAGCGGCAGCCACAGTGGTAGTGGCGGCCACAGCAGCAGCACCAGAAGTAGCAGGAGCAGCGCCAGTAACAGCAGTCGCTGCAGCTGCGGCGCGGTGGTAGCGGCGGCGGCGGCGGCGGCAGCAGCAGCAGGAGGGAAGGTGGGCGGAGCTAGTGTGACGGGCGCAGGTGCAAACACTCCAGAGGCAATGCGCTTGGGGGCTTTCTCCGCCCTCTCCGGTCGTGGCTCTGGGAGGGACAGCAGGAGGGATAGGCCGGAACGGGACAGGTGAACTGCTCGAAATTCGTCGCATCAGCAGTAACAGCAGCAGTGTTGGCGGCGAAACGGCGGTGCCGTCACCACTGCTGCTGCTGCCGCCGTACAGAGCAAGGTGCAGTAGATTTGAATGGGGGGGAGGGGGGAAAAGAGAAAAAACACCCCGGAAGCAAAGCGCTTGGGGGCCTTCTCTGCCCTCTCCAGCTTTGGCTCTGGGAGGCTCAGCAGAGGGAGGGATAGCCTGATAGGGAGGAAAGAAACTGGTGAATCGTCCAGATTTAAGGGGCAGAAGATTTGAATGACGGAAACGGCCGCAACGCGGATGACGTGAGGTGATTTGTGTCTGTCAGGGGAGAATTAAGGGGGAATATGAACAATAGACACTCTGTAGATTCCGCTGCTCCCTGAACTCTTAAATTTGTGAATTCTCAAACAAAACTACACACCCTGCAGTGCAGGTTTGTCAGAACGTAGGCTCGGGAGAGCGTGGGCTTGGCAGAGAGCTGGCTCGGCAGACTAGTTCAGGAATGTATGCTCTGTGGCTTCCGTGGCCAGTTCAACTGTTGGTGTATTCTAAGAACTTACCTTTTCTCGGGGTGTGGACGGCAAAGGATCTGGAAGGTACTTGGCGAGTCGATACTTCTGCCGAGAGGGAAAACACACATGCAGGGGGGGGGGGGAGAGGGGGGAAGAATGGACTTTTGAGGCGCCTCAGAAGGCAAAGGATCTGGAAGGTACTTGGCGAGTCGATACTTCAGCAGAGAGGGACAACATATGCAAGGGGGGGGAGGGGGGAAGAAAGGGGGAGGGGAGAGGAGGGGGGAAGAAAGGGGGAGGGGAGAGGAGGGGGGAAGAAAGGGGGAGGGGGGAGGGGGGAGGGGGGAGGGGGGAGGGGGGAAGAAAGGGGGAGGGGGGGCAGGGGGGGGCAGGGGGAAAGGGGGAGATGCACGAGATGTTAAAGCGGCCCAAGAGCTTTGAGGCGACTAAGAAATCGTCACCTGCACGTGGCTCTTGACGTGGCACATTGTGATTCGTGAGCCCTTGCATACACGCCCATGCCATACCATGGCATGGCATTCAGTGCGACCCAGTCCCATGATACCACAGCACCAACCATACATGCATGCATGCCTGCCTGACGGCTGAAGACGGTTCGTGTGACACGCGCAACTACGCACCTGCATCTGGCTCTTTACGCGGTAGAAGCCAATGACGAGTCCCATGATATCACCACACCAACCAGATATGCATCATGCATTGGTATACATGACGATGGTACTGGCTGGCACACGCACCTGCAGGTGGCTCTTCACGTGGTAGATGGTGAGGCCTTGCACGCCCATGACTCGCAGAACACCCTTGGGCGTCGCCTCTGAACGAAACGGGAGGGGGCATGGGGAGAAAAATTGGAACGGGAGGAGGGGGGGGAGGGGGGGGGGTGGGGGATGGGGGACATGGGGAGAAGAGAGAGGGAGAGGTCAGTGGAAACGGGAGCAGGGAACTGGCAGCAAGAGAGGGAGGCGGGGGCATGGAGGGAGTAAATTCCACCCTTTCCAACCAGCCACGACGTAATGTCAGCCAACAACACAACCGTAAGAAAGAAAGAAAGAAAGAACGGACGGAGGCAAAAAAACTTAACTGTCAGCCCCTTCCAGATTCGCGACTGCATCCGGCGTGGCAGCCACCGCAGCCTGTGCTAGGGGAATAAGACATACATAACCCACCCGCCTCTTTCCAACAGTCACACACACGGGAAGACAAGCCAAGCAGACTCACTGTCAGCCCCTCCAAGGTTTGCGACGGCCTCCGGTCTCCACCGCAGCCTGTGCTAGCTAGGGGAATACGACATACATAACAACGCACCCCCCTCTTTTCCAACAGTATAATCACACGGGACGGAAAGACAAGCAGACTCACTGTCAGCCCCTCCCAGGTTGGCGACGGCCTCCACGAATTTCTCATGCAGCTCTGGCGTCCACCGCAGCCGCTGCTTGCCGGAACTCCCCCCATCGCTGCTGAACCCGCCGCCTCCCCCGCCGCCTTCGCCCATGCTGAACGCCCCTCCCCCGCCCACGCTGCTCGTCGCTCCCCCTTCCCCTCCGCGCCCTCCCAGCGACCCCGCGGGCGCCTCCCCCCCTCCGCCCGAAGCAGCAGCTGCTGCAGCTGTGGCGGCAGCAGCGGTGGCAGCAGCAGCAGACGCGGCAGCAGAGGCAGCGGCGGCAGCAGCGTCCGTCCCCGGGGCAAGCAGATTCATCCCCCCTATAGAGTCGATCCGGCACCTTACCCCATCCATTCCACCACCACCACCCCCGGTCCCACCCTGGCCCTGCATCCCAGCAGCGACCAGTGGCACCAGCGGCACCAGCAGCGGCTACGGCAGCAGTGGCAGCAATGGCAGCGTTACCATTGACTGCTGCTCCTTGCGACGAAGCTCCCGTCCCGTCTCCTCCTCCGCCTCCGCGCCCCGCTCCCCCTTCCCCTCCCCTCCCCCTCCCCTCCCCGCGCCCCTCCGCCCCCCCCTCCCACACCGCCGCTGTTCCCAGCAGTGGAAGCAGAGGACGCGGGCGCAGCCACGCGGAGGGCGCAAGGCATTCCCCCCAGCGACAGGGGCAGCGGCGGCAGGGGCAGAGGGTCCCTCCCCCTGGGTGGATCTGTGCGTACATCCCTGGCACCGCAACCAGGGAGAACGGGAGGTCTGGGGAGGAGTAGGAGTTGTGGAAGGGCGGGTATGGCGGCCTGGAAAGCGGTGTGAGGTGGGGAGGTGAGATGGGGGTGGGAAGGTGGGGTTGGGTGGTGTGCTTGCGTGTAGTGCCTGGTGCGGCTGGTACTGCTGCTGCTGCTGCTGCTGCTGATGGTGGTGGTGGTGGTGCTGCTGCTGCTGCTGCTGCTGATGGCTATCTTGGCTTGCAGAACGGTTTTCCCGAGGGGTCGGGCGTTTCGCAAACAGGTCATGTCGCTCCTGCTGCTGTGCTGCTGATGTTGATGATGTGGTGCTTCTGCTCCTGATGCTGCGCTGCTGATGATGATGTGTGATTGCTGCAGCTCCTGCTGCTGCTGCTGCTGCTGCTGCTGCTGCTGCTGCTGCTGCTGCTGCTGCTGCTGCTGCTGCTGCTGCTGCTGATGATGATGATGATGATGATG